ATTCATGACCTGGTGACTTTTTTAAAGATTTTATTTTTTTATTTATTTAGAGAGAGGGAAGGGAAGGAGAAAGAGAGGGAGAGTAACATAAGCGTGTGGTTGCCCCTCACGTGTCCCCAGCTGGGGACCTGACCCCCAACCCAGGCATGTGGCCTGATTGGGAATCGAACTGGCGACCCTTTGGTTTGCAGGCCAGCACTCAATCCACTGAACTATACCAGCCAGGGTCAACCTGGTGACTTTTTGGTTACTCTCTTATATATGCTCTCTAAACTGCCTAAATATTTTATTTTATTTTTTTTTGTTTTTGGAAAGCCCTTTGGTCTACTGATAACAGTATTAGGCTGTGAAAGGACAGATAGTGTCTATTACCTTGTAGGGAGATTTTGGTTCTGAAAGTTGAACTGAGTTCTATTTTCTATAAAACATAAAAATATCTACTCTTTACCCACTTAAGAAAGATATCGTAATGATTAAGAACTATAAAGAACAGTTATTATACTATAAAATGCAGGGACATAATAACGGGGCTAATTTTGTTATTTAGTCATCCCTGAAGCAGTTGATGAAGTACCTGCTGTGATGTGGGTGCTAGGCTGGCACAGTGGCCCATCTGCAGTTTTGCTTTCTGTGATATCAGTTACCTAGAGTCAGCTGTGGTCTGGAAATGTCAAATGGAAAATTCCAGAAGTAAACCGTTCATAAGTTTTAAACCGCCTACTGTTCTGAGTAATGTATGACAACTCACCCCGTCCTGCTTGTGACATGATCTTTCTTTGTCCACGCCACAACACCGGCACACACACCCCTGCCCTCCAGTCACATAGTGGGAGCCTCGGGTATCAGATCGGTTATCAGACATTTTGAGAGAGTGAGAGAGAGACCACATTCACATAACTTTTATTATAGTATACGGTCGTATTTGTACCATTGTATTTCTATTACTGTTAATCTCTGTGTCTGATTTACAATTCAACTTTATCATATGTATGTATGTATGTGTTTGTTAAAAAAACATAGTATATATAGGGGGTTCAGTGTTATCCGTAGGTCAGGCATCCAATGGGTACACCGGCCGGGGGATCCTTGTACTGGTTATATTGAGGAATAAACATATATGATTCCCACCCTTGAGTGTAAGGGAAGGTAGTTAAGGGAAGGTTGAGTAATTTAAAATTTTGATAATTTATATGAAGGAAACAATAAGGCACAAACAGAATAACTGTTTAAAAGTGGGGAAAGTATCTCTTGGTCTCTCGGCCAACACTTGAAGAATGGGGAATTGGCCGTGTGAAGAGCAGAGGAAAAATTGTTCTCAGCAAAGAGAGCTTTGCTCTCAGCAGGTCTAAAATATCTTGAGGCAGAAAAATCTTGATGTAGTTTAGAGAGTGAAAGGAGACCCTGGGCTGGGTCACTGCAGGACAGCGGAATAGGCTCTGCTGCTGGGTAAGGCCAGGGGCGGAGGCCTCGGCCTGCCCCGAAGGCCGCAGCAATTAAACAGTTTAGGTTTGGCTTCAGGCACACTGGAAAGCTGGTAAAGGGTTAGCGGTTTATGAAGATCATACAGAAGAGAGGTGGGCAGGAATAGAGGCAGTGAAAAGGAGGTTATTGAAGAATTCAGAAATGTTGATTTCCTTAGTGGCAGGAAACCAAGTGAAGATACACAGTTTACCCTTGAACAACACAGCCTCGAACTGCATGGGTCCACTTATATGTGGATTATTTTCAATGAAGGTGTGGCAGAAGTTTTGCCTTTGGAGGTTTTGTATCGATTCCACTAAGCTGCCATAAGGCAATCATATTTTTGCTTCTTTGTTATCAGTGCACAAATTGTTACATCTGTAAATAAATGTGAATTTCTTTTTCACATTTAGACCAATACCTATATCTGGTCTTTAATGTTAGTGATAAGTACAATGTCTACAGTGTTTTGTATCATATAAGACAGTATTGGTATAGGTGCTGAGGCAATTCATCTTGTAAACAGATGATGGGAACTTACAGTATTGGTAAATACAGTACATTATTATAAATATTTTCTCTTATAATTTTCTTAATAACATTTTTCTCTCACTTTATTGTAAGAATACAGTCTATACTACATATAAATATAAAATATGTGTTAATCACCTGTGCTATTGGTAAGGTTGCAGGTCAGTGGTAGACTTTATTAGAAAGGTTTTTCTGGGAAATCAGCAGTTACATGCAGATATTTGACCATGGCAGGGGGTCAGTACCCCCAACCTCCACATTATTCAAGAGTCAATTATATTTTGGAAGAACATAGTTTTAAAACAGATTTACAAAGTCATATTTTGCAAACCTGTCCTATATTAAATAAGGAAGATAAGAGAAAGGAAAGTGTCAGGGGTGACACGGAATTCCGGCTTGAAGGAGTGGCATTGCTGTTTGTTGAGGTGAGGAAGATGAGGGGAGGAGCCGACGTGGGAGAGAAAAGTCAACAGATACCTGGGGGGATGGTAAAGTGGAGGTTGCGTACTACTGTTAAAGCTCAGAAAAGAGGGTTGGACTAGAGAGATGAATGTGCGAGTTGATGGCTTATGGGACGTATTTAAAGCCCTGGGAGAGGGTATCCTAAGCTGCAGAGGGAATATAGAGAGAAGAAAGAGGTCTTAGAATGGAGTTTTTTGGGAGTTTTAGAGGTTAGATAAGGAGTAAGCTTTTATCAAAGAGCGTGAGGAGTAGCCAGAGAGACAGGAGAAAAGGAGGAGAGTGTGGTGGGTTCTGAATCCCAAGAGATGGAAATGTGTTGACAGGACAAGTCCCTTCATCAAGCCGGGTCTACTAAAGGTCAGGTGAATCGAGAACAGACAAGAGCACACGGTCCGTGGCATTGACCACAAAAGCCACCCAAATGGAGTAAGACAGAAGTGGCGGGAAAGAGGAAGTAAGGAAGTATAAGACAGTAAGGGTCAACAGAAATTTTTTTTTGAGAAGTTATGAGTGGAAAGCAGAGAAATATGAAATAGCTGACAGAGGATGTGAGATCATGGAAAGACTAGTATGTTTTAGTAAGTAGGGAACCCCTGGAGTATGACTAGTAGAATTTTAGTCTGTAGAATATGTGTTAGATTGGGTATGGGCCAGAGTACTGAGGCTCAGACAAGGCAGAAGTTGATTTCTGCCTCACATAACAAGCCAGAGTAGGTATGTTATACTCCATGGGGTCATCCAGAGATTCAGGCTGAAAGGGGTGACTCTGGCATCCTCCTGAACTTGGGGTCCCCATGACTGGGTATGTGGGGACCACATCAGTCATTAATTTCTAACCAATAAGAAAGAGAAATCTAAGGCAAGTAAGTGGCTTTGTCTTCATGACGATGACCTAAACAATGAATACATTTTCTCTGTTGTCTCATTGGTCAGCCTTTATCACATGGCCACAACTCATGTGGTCTCAAGCTGGATGGAGGAGTACCAGCAAAAACTGAAAGTTTAGTTACTTAAAAGGAAAATGGAGAAAATGGATTCTAGGGAGTATCTGTTTTATAATATTTACTTTGAAGATTTGCTTGAAGATCTAAAATGTGAAAAAAGAGGAAAAAAGACAATGTGTTAGTTTTATTTGGATTACTGTCTGGCTCTGAATTTAGATTTGATATTTACATACATTTTGGGCAACTGAGCACATGTCAAGTTGATATGTCTCTGATTCAACAGAAGAATAACTGGTGATTGTAAAAAGAAACTCGGAATAGAAGCACTGATATAGTCTTTAGTCTATAACATAGATCAGTATTTATTCGTGATGTTTCTCTTCTTCTTCAAATTAGTAAACATATTCCAATGTGTATTGTGAAGACGGCAACTAAAGAGTTTTAGCATGGAGTTTTATTTTGCATAATTTTACATTCTGCTGATGTGTATATCATTTGCTTAAGGCATTACACTAGCCTTCTGCTCATGAGATTTTTACCATAAAATTATAATTAGGAAGGAAAAATCTTGACAATCGGAGATACTTGTTTTTCAGGTAGTTCCCATAAACCCAAGATAAGAAATTATTTTAAATGACATGGTAACCACAGGCATAACGGCTCTGTTGCTGCTTAGAGCAAGAAACGGCTTTACAAAAAATGGCATGTCTTTTAGTAGGGAAAGTTAACAACAGAAAATAGGTTCTGCAGGTATGATTGTGTTCAGTTCCTTCAGTTAGCGGAAGCAGAATCTGATGCAGAACATACTTAAGTGTCTTGACCAGTGAATGCTTAGAAGATGCTGGTTATATTCTATAAAGTCATTTCAGGATGGAAGAGTAGATTATTATACATTAAGATCTGTTGTTTGAGTTTCTTATGAGATAGTTCCCTTTCAGGCTGCAAGGGAAATAGAAGGCAGCCAGGAACAAGCCTATGAGAATGGATTGTGAGGAAGGGAGAAGTGATGCTGCCAGCTTCCCTCCAGCCGGGGCCAGTGCTTGTCCAGTATGTGACCCGTTCCATGTCACTCGCCGAGCCTCTGCTGTGGTTGTTGTGTCAATGGGAAATCAAAGAGGAAAGGCATTTGATCATGCAAGAATGAGAGATTCAGGGGCTGGGAGAGGCAGACCAGGGCTCCTGGAGACAGGAAGGACATAGGGAATGAGAAAGAATAGGTGCTTCCGTTATTGGATCAGCCTTCCCAGAGATTAAAATATATGTTAGGTTGATGGAGCAAATTCACTTTTCTGAAATTAAATATGTCATTATTATGGCATTACTGTAGTGTCACTTTAGAGTCATCTGTGGCAGAAATCTAATAGAACTAAAACCTGTGATCATTACAAATGAACTTTAACTCCTAGTGAAATGTTAATTTTGAATTTTTCACGGGCACCTGTCTTCATGGTAAATCTGACGAGTTGTCTATTAGTTGTGTGCAGTAGGATCATGCTTTGATTATTCGTATTTCTCTGCAGCCTTCGCATGTAGCATCCTAGTTTTCTTGCCTAGGAAAGATAATTGCACCAGTGATGGGACTTTTCCTTTTTCTGCTTGCAGAACAATCAACCATGACGACCGAATCTGGCTCAGACTCAGAATCCAAGCCTGAACAGGAGGCTGAGCCCCAGGAGGCGGCTGGTCCGCAGGGGCCCGCAGGGGCACAGCAGCCGGGGCCGGGGCCAGAAGAGCAGCGCCAGGCCTTGGAGCAGTTCGAAGCTGCCGCGGCACACAGCACCCCCGTGAGAAAGGAGGTGAGCCCTGGGACCGTGCCGCCCCACGCCCCTACAGTGGCGGGCATCACCCAGAAAACCGATTAAAGAATGTTTACTGAGCTTTTTAAGGGTCTGGTCTGACCTTGGTCTCCTAGCACTAGAGGGAACTATGAGGAGTCATCTGCTTCACCCGTTCTGGTCCCAGGCAGATGGATATTGGTCCTCTTTTAGGGCTTTCAGTGAATGACATTCCACAGCCATGCTTGGTAACTCCTTCCTTTGATTAAAGCTCTTGAGCTCACACTGAAATCTGGATTCCAGGTTATTGGTTTTATCTGGGTGAACAGGAAGGCTAGACACCACACTGATGGCTTCAGTTATGCTCTTGATTTTTATCCAAGTGGGGGGTTAGAGCTGTTTTGGTTTTTCCATATGTTGCCAGTTGCTCTTTGTGGATGTTCAGGTCAGTCTCTTTCCCTCCTATTCCCCATGTACGTGTATATTTTCAACTGTTACATACTAGGTGTATTTCAATTGTCACATGTAATGTGGATATTTCTTTTAAAAGTTTCCATGTAAAATATAGAGCATGGTTTATACCTGGGCTTTGAATGAATCCATGTTTAAATTTCTTTGGCTTAAAACATTAAACCTGCAATCACCAAGTTTTAGAGTGCTGGCTCACATGTGGTAAGGAAGTTAAGAGGCCCCTGCAAATGATTTGCTTTTCATAGGTCAGGTGTCTATGTGGGAAGCTAGAAATTCTGGACCCTGTGAGAGAACAGAATGAAGTCAGCATGTTAGTGAAATTCTTTGAAAGGCACGACACATTATTATAATGTTAAACTACAGTATATGTTTACAACCTGATTATTTTATTTCTTTTCCCAGGGTATTTAAGTTTTGCTTTATGATGGTATTGAGAATAACATTTATTTTCATGCTTTGTAGATTCTCTGTCCCAGGATGTTTTGTGATGGGGAGTAAAGGGTTATTCTTTAATTTTGTGAAGGAAAATCTATGGAGCTGTTGTTTTCATGGTTTTCCTTTGCCTTTTCTTTTGCTGTCGTGGAGGAGTGATGGTGATAGTGTTTGTTTTTAAGTCTTCAGAAATTTAAAATAAGTAGGCTGGCTTTTCTTCATTCTTTCCTTTTAACTCTGAATGGAAATAAAAATGAACCCAGGGGAGAGCTGTAGAGATGGAAGAGTTTCTCTACCCAGACATGTTTAAATATGCTGCTGTGTCTTCTACAGTCAGGTGTTTGAAACAGAGGAAAGCAGTGATACTAAACCCTTATTGGAAAGATGACTGGTTGCGAAGTCAAGAGACCCAGATTAGTCCTGTGTCTTCCCTAGTATTTTAGTAGCCTGGAGACATTCAGGTCCTCCAGGCCTCAATTCCTTATTTACAAATGAAGAGATCGGAAAAGATAATTTTCTAAGATTCTTCCACTCTAAAATTCTTTGATTCATACTCTGAGCCCAGTTCTGTTGGAGATATTTAACAAAGCACATTTGGATATGTAGCAGTGATTAAAACATGGGCCTTGGCCGAATTTGAAGTCCAGTTCACTAGTCTTGTGTCCGTGAGAAGGTTTGTTAAAACTGTGTGCTTTGTTGCATTCTCCTCCTGTGCAAGTCAGGGTGATAGTACCCACCTCCAGAGCTGTGAGGAGGGTGAAATGAGTAGAGATTTGCTAAAACAGTTGGTATTGATATTTCTCTTTTGTGTATTTTTCTAGTTTTAAAAGGCCATTTATTAATCTTAAATATTTACAGACTCATGGGTTAAAGTATTTATCAGTTTACTCCCAGTAGGTTATTTGTTGGGATTTTGTTTGGAAGAGGCTTCACGAACTGTTAGCTCTACGACTTTTTTCCAGGAAAGAAGATTCCGGGTTATCTTTTCTTTTTTTCACATTCTTTCTAGATGCTTGGAATCAGTCCCCTGGCTATCTTAGGAAATTCAATGATACTGATATTTTTATTTATTTTTAATATATTTTCTTGATTATCCTATTACACTTGTCCCATTTTTTCTCTCCCCTTTATATCCCTCTGCCCTCCGCCTACCCCACCAGCATTCCCCCACCTTAGTTCATGTCCATGGGTCATACATAGAAGTTCTTTGGCTTCTCCATTTCCCACACTATTCTGAACCTCCCCCTGTCTACTTTGTACCTACCATTTATGCTACTTATTCCCTATACCTTCGCCCCCATTCCTCTCTTCCCTTCCCCGCTGATAACCCTCCCCGTGATCTCCATTTCTTGATATTTTTAAATTGTAGCATATTGTATGACTGTGATTTACATTTCATTTTGAAGTACTTGGTCTGTTCTTCCATGTGCTTAAGAGGTTCGGTGATGGGTGAGGCCTCCCTTTGACCATTGGTGGTTTATGCCGATTCCGGAATTGATATATAAGTAACCCAGACAGCTTGTTCTGATACAGAAGTAGAGAACATATTTCCTTAGTAGAGGAAAAATGAAATTTATCTTCCTACTACATAGATACTTTGATTCCAGGTAAAATTTAAATAAAAATGTAGCCTCTGTTGACTTTGCAGAAGATGAGATGAAATGGAATTTAAAAGTCTTATGTAAATTATGAAGCATTTAACAAATGTATTATGGTAATTGATACAAAATTCCAAGGTTACCAAACTTCTTAAAGTAACTTAAAACCAGAATTAATAATTTATGACTTTTTTCTCACTATTTTAATGCTTTGATGTGCAAGACCAGCAGTTAACAGTTGGACTGTGTTGCCAGAGCAGGCCCTTCCTTGTGTTAGCTGAGGCTGGCCTTCTGGCTGCTTTGGACTTGGAAGTTGGTTGTTCACTTTTTTCTTGATTTTGTCACTCGGCAAGGGGTTTTTCATTTGTTTGTTTTGTTTTGTTTTGTTTTCCCCCTTAGGAACTTCTCAAGACTTTGCCTTGAATTCCTGGGCAAGGTAGTGGAGGAAAGGATTGTATTTGTAATCTTCTGGCTGTAAAACAAGATAGAAAATGCTGTTGTAAAAACAGGAATCTATACCTAAAATCCAAAGTAAATATGCTGAAAAATAACTGTGATTCTATTAGAGTGTCATAAAATTATAGAGACTAATAAAGAAAAGAAGTTGAAATGATAGCACTGCCTTTACTCTGAAGCCCAGTCCCTGTGGCTGCCAGCAGGATAGTGTGTTCACAAGAGAGGAAATTCCGGACCTATCCAAGGGACCTAAGCTGAATTTCAGAACACATTTTTCTCTGGACTGTCAGTGCAAATTTTTGTAGGCCAGTGGAGTGCTAGTTTGGCCCATGAAACAAATTTGCACTAATACCATTGGCGGTCGGTCATTTAATGTATAGATGGGGGGGTGTAAGAAGATTTCCAAGGAGAGTGATTCAGGGGAGTATTTTATTGTTACATAGGATGTCCTCGGGAGTTTTGAGTCTAGCCTGGACTAGACAGACTGTTGTGATTTGAAAGCAGATTAAAGCTTTTGGACAGATTTGATCTGTTCTTATACTGGCTCATTACAGTGAGGAGAAGTGGATTTAGGGGATTACTTTGCCATGAATTTCAGTGCTGCTGGCTTCATTGAATTGATTTAGAGCTAAATCAAACATTTTAACAATTGTAAAATTACTAAGAGGATTAATACTTGAGATTCTGTGGACCTTAAAGTTTATAACATACCTTGTATACAGTATATATTTGGTCTTGGAATATAGGAGATTCAGATAATGAAGAAAATCTAGTACATTAGGTAAAATCTAGACGATGTATTTTAAAGACTATCCAGTGTCTTTCTTAAAAACTTTGGAGTCCATTTTTTTTCTTCTTTAGTGAAGTTTCAACAACATTTGCTCAGTGCCTCGAAGGCAGATCCTTGAGTCAAACTGAAATAAGGCCTTATCTGTACATCTTAACAAGAGAAGTTATTTAGGTAAAATTGTTAGCTTTATAAATATCTGTGTATTTATAGCTTTTTCTAACGTCCCAATTCAAATGTCTCTCATTGGGAAATAGGAATGCCTGTTTTTAATGTGTCCTGGTATTGCAAGAGCAATGCAATATTTATGTCCTGTCGTGCAGTGAAAACTCTTCATTGTTCTTCACAGGTCACCGACAAGGAACGGGAATTTGCTGCTGGAGCTGCAAAACAGCTCGAATATCAGCAATTGGAAGACGATAAACTTTCTCAGAAATCATCTAGCAGTAAACTCTCTCGCTCTCCACTGAAGATTGTCAAAAAGCCTAAAAGCATGCAGTGCAAAGTGGTCCTTCTGGATGGATCAGAATATACCTGTGATGTGGAGGTGAGTGTATATTTTAAAACCCTTTTGTCCCAAATCTGAGAGCTGGTAAATCTTGGCATGAACATACAAGTTGCCTCTTTATTTTTTCAGAACTCTGGAAAAACACTCAGACTCAGCCTCTAAACACAAAAGTGTTTCCAAAATCTGTAACAGGGTATCAAATTACTAAAAAAAATACTTAAAATGTTCCTCAAATGTTACTATGAAAAAAATGTGATCTTTAAAAGAAAAACCCACACTTTTCATGGTAGGAAAAAAATGGGATGCCTTAAAAATCACATGTTCTTCAATATCCTGGCTAAGAGCTGTCCTTTCAGTGAATTTGGCCTTTTGCATTTGAGTATTTTATCGACAAGTCAGTTGTTTAATGGTAGAAACTTGGAAACTTCTGCATATAGGAGCGGTGGGATAGTTTGAACTATGAATGTCTTTTTCTTGCTGAGACAATGAGTAACCTGTAAAATGTACAGTGTTGTGGGCATTGCAGCTTGAATGGTCTTTTGGGAAAGAAAACACATTCCTCTCAGAGAAGAGGGTTGAATGACCTTTGTCTGAGATGTGTAGCAAGCCCCAGCTAACAGTCCACAACAAGAAGACTGGGGGTTTTCCCTGTTTTCTTAGATGTCTGTAGATGTCCATAGCTACGAACCGGGGTGACTGTTGAGTTCTCCCAGTTACCATGGGGGGTGCACGGACACAGGCTGCAGGAGCAGGTCTCTGTGCACTTCCTGCGGCACCTTCTCTTCACAACTGGGAAGGAGCAGCTTGCTCTTTCAGCAAGTTGATCCCATTTCAAAGTTAATGTTTTCATTCAAAGAGCCCATTCCTCCTGTCTCCAGGCCCCTGCCCTTTATCACACAAGGACATTACACATCCTTCTATACCAGCCCTTCCCACCACATTTTCACAATTTTCCTTTTCTGCTGGGTGTTCCAAGTTGCTCCCCGGCCCACGTGCAGTGTAGGCCTGTGTGTTCCACATTTCTCTTCCTCGTTCCTCATAACACTAACAGCACCAGACTCACCTGACTTCCTGCGTCCCGCATTCATTCATCTCTGCATCCTCTGACTACAGCCCTATGTCATTCATTTCCATTTTACTTTGTTTAATGCACTTGGGCATTCAGCACTCTTCTTGGAACAGAAGATTCAAATCCACTTCACATTGATAATGTCAGTAAGGGCAGAGGGTGGGATTGGGGTTACTAATTATCACAGATTGTTAAGAACATAGAAAATGGGTGTGTGTGTATTTTATATATATATTATACTATATTATATCATATCATTAGATCAACACTTATTTGCTCTATCATGCATTTGTAGAATTTTTGTTCTCATGTAACTTGACAGATATTGAGGGGTACAAAGAGTGTAATTAATATATGTCCCAAGGACCCCTACCTAAGGTTGCCGCACACAGATCTGTTTCTTGCATTTCCCTGGCTCTGATTTTGGCTGAAATCTTAGCCCAAAGCGCTCAGTTGTTGATTTGGATGTTTATTCTGGAAACGGCGACTCAATAATATACCTCTACATGTGTTTTACTATGAAGCTTAAAGAACTTCTGTAACCTTGGGAGAGGCTGTATTTTTCCATTGTAGATCTACTTTCTGGAAAAATCGATCAAAGCCAAGAGGAGCTTTTTTGTTAACTTCAAGGACTGTCTTTCTGTTGATTTCATTATACAGTATAATGGAAAAATAGGGTTATCTGGCAGCCCTCTAGTCCAGCAGAGTTTTCTAGATGAGATTGTAGTGTTTCACGGGGGGAGAATAAATGCTTCAGGAGTGACCAAGGTATGTGTAGTGTTGATCATTTGGCTAAATTTAATTTCTATCCCACGCTTCAAATTCATTAAAGGTAATTCATGTTTTCAAATACAGACTTTTTATTTTTTAATTAACTTTGCACAGTTCAGCATTACTTTTACTGTCACTGTGATCAGTCGGAGTGGCAGGGCAGTGCTGGTCAGCTATTTTCCTTTCTAATAAGGTATTTATATAAATTTGACAGATTCTTAAGTAACTTTTTTTCCATCACAGAAACCTTGACCAGCAGAATATTTTCAGTTTTACCACAGACAGCCCTTAGTAGGTCTGTTGTAAAAAGAAAAAAGTGTTCGGTACGGACATTGTCGTGAGGAAGATGGAGACGTTTGGACGTGGGAGTGTGGAACGGACTTGCTGGTGGCTGGCTGGGTGCATGAGACTGGCTGGGAAGCGGTGGCCTGGTTCCCAAGGTGGGACTAAGACGCCAGTTGACAAAACATATTCAGAAAGCCTCTTGTCTTTAGATACAAACTGCAGAACATAAAACTTGGCTGGCAAGGTGAACAGGTTGTAATAGGTAAACAGGGGTTGAAAAACTTTACCCTGGGAAAGATAGCGTTCAGTCTTTGCTCTACTTTAAAATAAGGTTTTATCAGCCTTGGATGAAGGCACCAAAAATTTTTTGAAGTGATTCAGAGCTTTAAAAGTGTCTAAGGGAGCGTGTATCACAATGCATGTGTGGCATAGACAGTGTGGAACACTGAGGCAAAGTGGCAAGATAAGATTTAGCAGGAGGGAAAACCTTACCTATTTTTAAGGTGTAAGTACAAAGGAGAAACCTGTTTAGGGAAGGGGCAGTTAGACTGAATTACAGTTCAGGTGCAATTTATCTTTGGGTCAGTCAGTTAGAAAGTCAGCATGTACCAGCAGTGTGACGCAGCTGTCAGGCTGGTCCTGCGATCCCAGGCTGAGAGTCGCCCAGTTCCTGGTGCTGGAGAGGTCCCATCTATGGTGTCTTGTTTAGTTCAGATGTGAGAAGAATGCTCTGTACCCACCAAATTGGAGTACAAAAATGGAATCCTCCACTTGTTACCCACAATTTCAAGTGATATCCTTAAACTTTCATGACCTAAGTTTCCTCACCAGAAAAATGGGGGTGAAAGTATTTGCCTCAAAAAGGCATGATTTGAACAGATTAAAGCTATTACTTTATTTGAACACTATCTGGGATGTAGCAGAGTCTTGATAGATGGTAGCCATTTACTCATAATAAGAGCAGTGAATTCAGCCCTGGCTGGTGTGTCTTAGTCGGTTGGAGCATCATCTCATAAACCAAAAGGTCATAGGTTTGATTCCTGCTCAGGGCACATGCCTAGTTGTGGGTTTGGTCCCTGGTCAGGGTGCGTACAAGGGGCAACTGATGGATGTTGCTTTCTCACATAGATGTTTCTCTCCCTTTCTCTCGGTGCCTCTCTTTTCCTCTCTCTAAAATCAATGAGCATGTCCTCAGTGAGGATTGAAACAAAAAAGAACAGTGAATCTGACTTGAGCTTATTCGACAGAGAGTTATTGGATGGTGAGGGATCTCCAGATGGCTCGGAATCTGGAGTAAACACAGAAATGGTGGCATTCATTCCAAGAAACATTCCTTGATCCCATCCAGAGATGCTTCTAAGCAACTTTTTCACATTTCCTTCTAGCAGTGGGCTGAGGTCATTGTAGCATTCAATGTTTTTCCATTTGAGAGACTTTTTCCCAAATAATTTATAAACTGTTAGTCTTGATTATCTAAAATATAAAAAGATGTTATAATGTGTATAAGAAGAGATCTTATTATAAGTAATTTGATACGTGTGTTTGGGACATCTTTGCATGCTACCATATTTTCAAGTCTGCCAACAAAATCACCCCACTGTCATCCCCTTATTATTGTATTGGACTGTTGAAAGACACAAGCCACTCTCCATAGCCGGTTTATTACCACTCTTGCTGTATATTTTTTGGACATAAATTTTAGAAGGAAAAAAATACCCCAGTCACAGGCAATAGAGGAAATAGTGCTCATCACATTTATTTTAGTCCTGTTATGTTTGTGTTTGGTAGACCCATTGAGTCTGATTTACTCACATACAATATATATTCTAAGGACCATCCAATTAGAAATGTTTTCTGTTATGTGGATACCATTTTAATCTAGTCTGAGTTGGTTTTAGGAAAATAAACATGATCTGAAATTTGAGTCCATATTTCATAATACAGTTTGTGGCTGCATATAGAGAACGTTCAGGCCACTCTTTGGTATAACTTGGTTTGTCCTCCACAAGAAACCAGATTGATGGAGGAGTCTGGAGCATGACTGGAGAAGCGGCGGAAGGTTTATACCACGCAGGCTCACAAGGGTCCTGCCCTGTGTCTCCATGCATGTGAGACCTCAGTTTACCTGTGGGTGATTCTGTGGTGAGGGAGACTTGGTGCTTCGGAGACCCGGGTATATTCATGTGGAGTGGCACTCCAGGGGAAGATGCTAATGAGTCAACCACGTTGGAGGGAGAGGTTTATATCCAGATTGGGGCAAATCAAAAATAGCTACTTCAGTGCAGCAGGAAAATTATAAAAACAAGCCCCCCAGTTCTGGCCCTGTGTAGAAGCTGGCTGGTTGAATGAGCTCCATAACAAGACTGTCAGGGTCCACTAGAATGTCCCAGAATCTGGGGTTAAGCACAGAAACTGTGGAGATCACTTCAACAAGCATTACTGAATGAGCATACCGAGATGCTTCTAAAGAACCAGAGAGGGTAAGGAAATTTATGGCATTGTGTCCTAAATGTCCTGTGGTCACCTTCTAACTACTGGTCAGGAAGGGACTGTTAGAAGAATTTTTTAAAGCTTTATCTTGTCTCTAATCGAATGAACTGTCTAAATCTATTGTACTATTTTACGTACTCCACTAACTGGAATACAGTTGGAAAAACAAATGTAGTGTCTGAATTTTTCAACTTCTATAGGTGTCACATGACTAAAATACCTTACAATTCCTTTGGAAGTTCTTAGCTAGACAGCAAAGGGAATCATCATAATCCAGAAAGTTGATTAGAGCACAGGTTGCCATTCATGTATTATAAAAATAATAATTAACTGTAAGAAAAATAAGGGTCTTTTCCAAACCAGTTCAAGTACTCTTCATTCAACAACTACACAAGTGTCAGAGTTTTTGATTCTGTGATTGTGT